TGTGGAATGTTGATTTTTTTTCTTCACAGAAAAAGCCTAAATAAGTATAAGTTTATGTAATTGTGGATATCTTTCTCAGAAAAGAACTATGTCTATCGAAATATAAAGCATATAACCTGGGAAATTTCTCGACCTTCGCCGCCATCTTGAGAATTCTACATCCACAATGCATCGCACTCCCAGTGCGTACTTGCCGCATGCTCACGAAGCTCACTTCGCTTTGCGCGACCAAAATCCAACAACGTTCTATCAAACCTCTTCGAAACCTCTACTGAGGGGAAAGCAGAAGAGAATCAGGGCGATAACCAAGAGATGACTCACAATGGTTGCAACTGTCGACGTTTAGCTTTTTTTTATCAGATTTTGATTGAAAGCCAAACAGCGTAAACGACAATGAAGGAGTCATTGTTTTTCGAGTTCAAGGTCCACCCGAAAACAAAGCAAGGTTGCAAGCTCCTTATCATAATAAACTTATTATAATAACCATCCCTGAACTATAAAAACACTAAAATCTTGCGCACTCACCTAATTAACAACTGAATAAGATCTTTTCACATCAAATCAGTTTTTGCTGTCGCAAAGTAATTTGCAGTGGATCTTCACTGTCGAATCGAGCTGTTGCTATACGGTTAATGGGCAAAATTGAAGAGGTGCTAACGTTGATGAAGTATGACACCACAGATAATGTTCCCATAAAACAGAATGGTGAATTTCCTCTGATTTACGTGCTTTCAGGTTCCTGCAACAGAAATTATTAGTACTGTTTGCTTTCTGGCTCTCTTATAATTGGCTTCTTTATTCCTACACTCTGCTTCCGTTGCTGCATGGTTAGAGTGGTACGTCGGGTGCGCTTTTCTAGATTGCTCATAGAAATAAAAAATAAATTTTGTAAGGAAAATAGAAAATAACTTTACCTCGAAGATCAGTCTAAGGCAGGTTAGACGTTCAGTACGTCATTGAACTGTCCAAAGAAACATGAAGTTTGGTCCAAACGACGATGGCAGTGCATAAGGTATGCGTTACATTTCAAGACAAATATTTCAAGAGTGTGCGTGACCTTTAATATCAGTGCTAGGGAGCTTAAACAAAGATGTTTTTAAGCGACGCACGCCAACCGGAAGAGAGATTTGTTCCCTTTAAATTTGCCTTGACACTATCAAATTTGTATTGCTTAATGTCTTTACTCTTATTGAGATGATTTGCCCGACAAGTTGGGCAAAACCACTGCTCAAGAATTCACTACAAGTTGGCTTCCGTCTGAGCTCAATAACGACATTGCTTCTGGACTGATAGGGGTTAATTCAGTTAATTACTTCTAAAAACGATTTCAGTTTCAGTTATCGTAAATGGGACACTAGAGACAAAAGATAGAGGAGTGCTTATTTTAAAGGAAGGCTAATTTTATTCTTTCGAATTTCAACCTCAAAATAACATATAAACTGTAATAGTTGCAAATGAAAAAAACTTGAACATTAAACAGGAAAACGGAAGTGTAACCTTCACCTCGCGTGTGGTTTTTGGCCATTTGAATTTCAATCAGTAATTCAGGATGTCCAACCATCCCGATCTCCCCGGGATTCTCCCGATTTTGCTCGAAAATCCCGAATCCCGACCAATATGCGATCGGGATAGGAAAAAACCCGATTTTCACATCTGTTTTGATAAATACACAAGAACACCTAAAAGAGAGTGCGCTTAATTGAAACTGATACCCTGAAAACGTAAATATACCGCCTGAAATATAAAACAAAATCGAGTACTTGTATGTGAAAACACTCAAATAAAAATAAGCATAAAAATAACACTCAATTTAGCGAACATTTTAGAATGAAATCGCCCTCTCAGAACACTAAAATAGCGTTTCAGAGCATCAAAATTTCAAAATTTTCTCGGATAGCATGCTTCCAGACCCCCTTGGTGGCTCGCACCCTCGGCGCTCACGTGATTCGTCGGTTATTTAAAAATACATCCCGATTGTACGTACTCACAGGTTGGACTGTCTGACTATTAAAAATTGAAAATGAAAAATTTACAAGGTGATTTTCAAGTTTTGATTCATTTGATCATTTGCCGCCAGTGCTTGCGGCCGACACCGAAAAATCCGCACCAACAAGCAAAACCTCTGGCACTCTGGGTATTCAGGAAGGCAAAAAAAAAATATTGAACAAAGGTTAAAACTACACCAAATATGGACAGGGTTATGGGCACCTGATTCGGATTATTGAATAACCGCCACATGATCAAGAATACGGAACTTAACACCGCTGATATATTCTGCTTCAAACTAGAGAGGATACTCTTGCCTTTCTATACCTTTATCGAAAGGCGAGGAGGGAAGTGGACATTTTGCAATCTTGGGGCGTGATTTTGACCTAATTTTAGGGCAAATCGTCTCTATGAGAGAAAAGTTACTTGGAAATACAAATTTGATAGCGTCATGTCATATTGAAAAGAAACACGACTCTTTTCCGGTTGACGTGCGTCGCTTAAAAACTTCTTTGCTTAAGCCTTGTAGAAACATTTGTATTACAGGAAAGCAACAAATACTGATTAGCTTTCAAAACCTCCGATCATTCAGTAGCGGATGTGTTAAATATCGCAACAAACGCAATAGATCTGCATATAAACTTTGAAATCCAAGTAGCGGTAAACAATCGCGCGCGTAACGATAACACAAAGTGTTAAATCAAAATATCACGTGAAATTTGAAAAAAGACGGATCATTTAAAGTGTTCCAGATTATAGGGAAACATTACGTATAAAACCAACGGAAAGCGTTGGCCTCTTGATCTAACCAATTAGTGATGGAAAGAAATTTTAAAAAGAAGAACCAGCCTACCAGCCTACCAGCCAACACTCTCCTTCTGACAGTCAGGCCATACTTTTGAATGAGGCTGTTTTATAAGGGCGAAGGGAGAACATAAAACCTAACCAAAAAACTTAACCAGTGCATTCGACGCAGGCTAATTCAGGGGTATCGAACGTGCCATTCTTTTGAGATGTTGAAATGGTAAGAAAATCTTTTTCCTAATAGTATATTCTTCTGTCGTTTTATCCTGTCTTTCATGCGAAGGCACAGCGACATTTTTCGAATTCAAGCACTACAAAACCAAAAAGGAGGACATCATGAGGACGAGATGTTTCGAATTCATGGAGCAAGATGAGTTCAAGCCAGGTCCCACCTGCATAGAACTGTAAGTAGGAAGGTTTAGTTTGTAAACAGAGAAGTTTGAGATTGTTTTTGTGGTTCCACTAGTTCCGTGTACTACGACTAGTCCCGCATTAGGGCTCACGAAATACGCGAGCGCGTATGAGATTCTTCGTGCGCGAGGACAGGCGAGATACGGTGGAATAGGAGAAATGAGGGACCTTAATTTTTTCTTCTTCCTCCGTCTCGCCGACGAGTGTCTCTCTTTCCTGCGTCTCCTGTGTCTCGAGTTTTCACCCGCGCTCGCGTACTTTTTGCATCCTATTATCCATGAGACAATCTCTTCCAGACGTTCAGATTGTGAAGGATAACGTGAAATCCGCCCTCTCGCCGCCCCATCTCTGCTAACTTCTCTTTGTGCACTCCACACTATCTCAATCCCTGGAAAAGGCTGTCAAGAAGATAGTGAAAGACCACTCGTATTTTACTGAATCTGCTAGATTTGAATTAACAAAGCTAACAACAACATTCTTGATGATTAGCTCTTAAGTCCGTTGCACAGAAAGCGATTAAACATGCCACAGCACTCCAAGGAATAAATTAGGATATTATTGATACTTCTGGTCAGAAAGAACCAAGTAATTCAGCTCTGACAGTGGCCCTTAAGCATTATACTTAGACTTAACATGTAATAGAGCATACACAAAACTGAAAACTTTATCTTAGAGATTATTTTACTTTTTAAATACATTACACAAACGTGAACAATAGCAGAGATTTTAAAGAAGTTATAGCAGTAGTTTATATTGGGGAAGGGTCAGTAGTTATACGAAGTATATATTTTTAAGTTGCTTTGCTTGTGTCTATTCGTTGTTTAATCAAATTTTAATGCAAACTGAACTGAGATTTTTTAAAGCCACTCTTTTATTTTAGATAGACTTTGTGGTGCACAATTATGGATTATCTTTGCTGCATATTCATTTGTTTCTAATTACTTTATTTTTAATCAAATTGAAAACATTTCTTGGAATTTATACTTTATAATAAAAATCAACTCAAGATGTGCAAAGACTGAAAGGAAACAAATGGTCCGAGATGCACATTCCGTCTTATTGTGAAATAGTACTAATATATTTAGTCTGTGTACAAGCCGACTATTAGGGGTTTAAGGTGTTTTATTCATCTTGGGTGGGTCCAAATAAAGAGAAATCTGTTTATAATGTTCGTTTCATTCCCTCCTTACCATAATATCTAAGCAAGTAAAAAGATGGAACGAGCTTCTGTATTCGTTAATATTTTCATTCATAAAGTACTAGACCTCTCTCAAAGTGCAAAATTGGTTAGTTAAGAATATGCGGTATGTTGCAAACGATTATTCTGAAATCCGAACATTATACCTTTTTGGCGTTAATTATGTCTAACAATGTCTACTTTGTTTTGGTTTTGAAATTGTTGTGTGTGTTGTCTTTGACAGTGATCGTGGTACTATGCTGATAATCCCAGTACAAACACGTGAGATGCATGGTGTGGTTTGTTTAATCACAGGCACATGCTATGCACGTGACTTATTCACTCGTACTTCAGTTGCCGCTGAGACTGCGAGGTGGCAAGTCAAACTAACGTTCTACACTGTAGTGATGGATAGCATGATCGGCAGATCTGTCTGGGCTTTACGATATAATGACACAATGTCAGGAGACGTCAGTATTTCAAAACTCAGCTGCTTTCAACCTTCTTGAAGTTAGTCAGGTGAAATAATACATCGATGCATTGGCTGGCAACTTTTAAGGAATCGCTGGCTTTGTAAGGCCTCAGTTTGCTTTCATTTCTTTTATCGTAAGGTTGCTCAGTCATGTTGCGTGTAGAGCTGGCTGTTGTCGTTAGTTTGGGTTTAATCGTATCAGCGTTCGGCCATGGCCGTCTGATTGATCCCGCGAGTCGTAACGCGGCTTGGAGGTACGGTTTTGACAATCCGGTGCACTTCACAGACAACGAGTTAAACTGTGGTGGATTCAGTCGTCAATGGAACAAAAATAACGGGAAGTGTGGGGTATGCGGGGACCCGTACGATATCAAAAAACCGGAATTCATCCACCCTGGTAAATACGCCAAAGGCATCATCACCAAGACTTACAGAAAAGGCCAGGAGGTTGAAGTTAAGGTACACCTCACTTCGAACCACAAGGGTTTCTTCGTTTTTCGTGTAGGGAATATTGGCAAACCTCCCATTACAGAAGAAAAGCTGACGTACGTTCTAAAGCAACGCAATGGCCAGACGAAATGGATTTTACCTAACAATTTGAACACAGTCTTCACAATCCAGCTACTGCTGCCCACGGGTCTGACATGTGATCACTGCGTGATGCAGTGGTGGTACAGCGCGGGAAACAACTGGGGGTGCGATGGAGATGGAACGTGTGGCAACGGGCATGGACCACAGGAAACTTTTGTGAACTGTGCTGACATCAAAATCACTGGATAGATGTTTCTCTCGAGATGATGCCCCGAGATAATTGAAAAACTAACTTTGTATTGAAATCAGGGAATGTAATAGGAAAAACGTAGATAAGTGAGTAATAAAGAGAGTAATGAAGTGATACCACTTGAGTTCCATCAGGGCTAATTTTGCATACTTGTAAATGCTGTTTGTCGCAGTTGGAACAAAAAATATATATTAAAAAAAGTAAAAGATGCCTTTCTTGTCTGAGTTTTCTCTTACCGTATTTTTTGCGTCTGAAACAAACTTAAAAAGTGTTACGCGCGTTCCGAAAATGTCTCTTTCCCTATCCTGAGTGTGTATCGTACGCCTTTTGTTTTACGGTACATGTTCTGTACAACCTATCAATGTCAGTCATGTCAATCTTGCAATGTCGCTTCGACACATGTATGTAGTTGAGTTAGGAATGCAGTGAGGTTCAGCTGCTCCCTCTATTCACGAACAACGACATGAAATCACTGTGTGTGGCTGAATAAACAACTAACAAAGTAGTTTACCAATGCCATCTTCCATATTATTTCTAAAGTCTCAATTATATGATACAAAGCTCTACAACAGGACCTCTACGTCAAGAACTCACTACTCACTCACGTGCGTATTTTCAGAAAGAGATTCTTTGAACCACTGTTAGGAAAAAACCGGCGTAAAACTGATGTCAGATTCAATTTGATTCTTAAATGATCCTTGCTTTTTAAAAAATATAGGGAATCAATAAGTGTTCAGCTGTCCAGGGTGTAGCAGCTACTTCCTAGGTGACGTGGAGGACGCACAAGATGTGTCAATTCAGGAAGTTCAGCTGCTCTGACTTTCCTGACTTGTGTTCACTGAAAGCTGACGTTTTATATCCAGTTCTTTTAGTTTGCTCTCATATTTCTTACTGCAAGACCTCCCGATCATGTTTCTCACAGAGTTGAGTTTTGTTCTAAGCGTAAGCTTAATCGTATCAGTATCTGGCCATGGCCGCTTAATTGATCCCGCCAGTCGAAATGCTGCTTGGAGGTATGGCTTTGACAATCCACCCCACTACACAGATAACGAGTTGAACTGTGGCGGTTTTAATGTCCAGTGGAGCACCAACAAAGGGAAGTGTGGAGTATGTGGTGACCCTTATCATAAGAAGGAACAGCCCCACGTTTATCCTGGAAAATATGCCAACAACAGAATCATCACGAAGACTTATAGAGAAGGCCAGGAGATGGATGTAGTTGTGGAACTTACTTCGAATCATCAGGGGTTCTTTGTGTTTCGCGTGGGTAAGATTGGCAGTCCTCCCATTACACAAGAAAAGCTGAAGTATGTTCTGAAGCAACCGAACGGACAAGAAAAGTGGAAGATAACCTCCCATGGAAATGATGTGTTCAAGATCAGGCTTGTGTTACCCAAAGGCCTAACATGTGATCATTGCGTGATGCAGTGGTGGTACACTGTGGGAAATAACTGGGGCTGCGATGCAGATGGGTGTGGCTTAGGTCACGGACCGCAGGAAACTTTTGTGAACTGTGCTGATATTAGGATTACGGCCAGTGATGGTAGCGTAGCAACCAACCCACCCTCTCCACAGACAGAACAACCCCCTCCTCCCACACAAGCGCCCCTTCCTTCTACACAAGCGCCCCTTCCTCCTACCCAGCTTCCTGTGACGACTATGCCTCTTCCCACAGATGCCCCTAATCCAAGCGGCTGCAAGGCGACGGGAGCCTGGGCTGGACAAACGTCTATAGACCACTGGTGCGTGGTGAATTGTGGGAATGGGTACTGTCCGGCTCATATGTGCGTGTGTAATTAGAAGAACACCGCTAACATTAGGGTATATGGGATACACGTAAAAGAAAAGATATCTTTGTCAATAATTTGATTTATGAAATCTTGTAAATCGATATATAGATATATAACCTAGAAGGGCGCATGTCAAGACACTGTTTCGAAGGAGGCCTTGTATTAACAATAAGCCAAAACGTACAGATAGTGTCTTGACAATTTCTTCTTTCTGTCAACAGATTATTAGTTGATTCACATGTATCTTTTAAAACCATTTATCGTGTGAAACTGCAAAATATAACTTTTCATTCTTTGTCGCTCAGTTGTGATGCATGTTTAATAACCCATTTCACGTGTCGCTCAGCCTCTTTGTTAAGGGAGGCCTGATTCGAAACCATTCATATAGAAATGCATTTACTTTGCGCGTAGATGAGAAGTCTTTTTCATATAAAACGATGATCACCAGGATTCACTTTGAATCGAAAAAGTGGCTGAAGGTAATTAGAAAATGGCCTATATTTTTGCTGCAACTGTTACTAGTACCACGCATGCTCAGAGTGTCCCCAGCAGCTGGACTCTCGCATGTCAGTCACACGACATGAACCTGTCAGATAGCGCTGGAACTCTTTAGCTCACCTGTGATCTCTATTTGTTTAAAACGCAGCGAAAGGCATACATGTCTGTATAAACATCCAACAAAGAAGGGTTTTCTACTGGGTTGAAACATGCTTCAATCCAGGGTCGAGCTGAGGTTACCCGGTACACGCTCTATGAGTGCAGCTAGTGCCCAGTTATACAAAAAACAATAAGTTGGTGTATATAAGCCAAAGACACCCAGTTATATCCTTCAATGAATTCTTTTCGTCAATCGACCCCTTGCCTGCTTAAAAAAAACATGCCGCTGCTATGACCAAATTTATATTGGTAATGCTGTAAATATTCGCTTTATCTCATTTTACCTTCTTGCTTTTGGCATTATTTAAAAATGTCTTCAGTTTGAATGTTATTCATTAAACGTGAACAGCTTAGCAGTACATTACATGACAGAAGAAGCAAAACAAAAACGGTGCTGTCAGGTACATGTCCTTATGCCCCCCTGAACAAATTCCGAACTACAGATGTCTGTACTGGCTGGCAGCTTTGATAGGCCTGTAGTTAAACATAATCATGGTTTTAAGGAAGAAAGAAGGAAGAAGACTGAGCTTTTATATATGGGCCGACCACCAGTCTAGAATAATTGAATGCTCACAGCAGCTGAAGTAAAGTCAAGTGTTTCATGTTTTACGCTTCTGAGAGAGTTAACCTTACATTGTTCAACAACCCTTAGAGACATTCACTTAACTTGACTGCAAAATCTTAAAAACACTTCGGACGTATCTTCATCTCGGAACTCTTGACAGAGACCCAGTTATTTTTCCAGTGGTACCAGTTCATTCCTAGGCCGAAATTCACCTTGGCGGGACTGTAAACACCATTCAGATTGGATTTGTAGCAAGAATTGTACCACCAACCGCCCATCTTCATGAGGGCACAGTCGTAGTTGCCGTCCTTATCATTATCATGGCCCCTGGTGGAAAATGACATACCACGATGATTATCAAGGGAATCTCCAGCAGTGCCTACAATAAAAATAGATATTTGTCATGTTTTCTCGGACATTTTTTGGCAGAGATATATTTGCATCTACCCCAATAATTTAACTTTCTGTAGTTTTTACTGCTCATTGTCCAAATTAAAATAAACCAAACGATAACTTTTCAATTATCGCAGTTTTTCTGTATTGTAGTCAGTTGCCGCTAAAAAAATTGCCCATCGACAGCATCTTTTTTTTCGCAGTCTGATTCTCTTTCAATCAAAGTAGTTAACTACCCTGAATACCTTCCCAAACTCAGCTGATATTTTGCTCTCTCACTTGTCACAGAAAATAAGCTGTAGTTTGCAAATGCAGTGTAAGGTACTAACAGAAGGTTCAGCTGTGCCTCAAATATTGGTGGCGAATGTCAGTCTGCTACTTAGAACAGGTTTGGCTCGGTTTTGAGTGGCAAGTCTAACGGTTTAGGTAAAAACATTAGTAAGGTTGGCCGGAAGAAATCTACAGAGCCATCTCACCTCTTCTGAAACACCGTCCAACCTCCACCGGCTGTTTTCTGATCACAGAACACTTCAAACTCGCCCAAACCATCAGGATTGATTTTATACACTCCACTGATATTGTCACCGTTTTTGTAAACTTCAGCACAGTTCTTGTAAACTGAAAATAGCAAAATGTTTATGGTTATGTAACTATTCCTCTCAACTTTCTACATTTTAAATCAGCGAAGGCATCCACTTTTATTTGTTGCATAATAAGACTAATAATATTTTCATCTAAGGCCACTTTAGCGCAGTTCTTGTAAACTAAAAATTAATCCCAGTAAGTAGAGCAATCACATTATTATCATTATTTCTTTCGTTTTTCTATCTTATTCCTCGAGGTACCATTAATAATTTGTTCACAAAATTTCTCCTGAAGAACAGCTAAGAACTCATAAACTAAGAATAGTATTTCAGCGAGTTACAAACCTTTTCCGTTGCCAGACCCAGTAGTTTTATTTTCTCTCAAGACCCTGATTTCTTGTCGTATTTCCTCCAGTTGCTGCTCGATTTTAGTGCGCAGTTTGGTCCACACAGTTGAGTCACACTGCAGTGAGCTTTCTGTGGCAGTTTTACTGTAGACTTGGCACGTACCGCGATAAGGTAAGCGAACAGGATAGTTCCAAAACATTTCATCTTAACTCCTTAGTATGAGCAGTTTTGGGAAACAACTGTCCCACATTTACAATGGACAACGAGTTAGAGAAGAAATGATACTAAAACTTCCGCAGATGCTTCGTATTAGGCCTTGACACAAATATCCTTACATTTTTTTAGATATTTAGAAGAGATTCTCAGATATTTAGAAAATTTTAAAAAAATTTAAGATAGTCATAGTCGTCATGCACATGATAGACATACCAACTGTTTAACAAAACATTAAACTTTGCAACCATGTTGTTTTGAAAGTTGCTATATTTCCATAGTGCTAGTGTAGACAATCTCTGACATGCTTTTCAGCTTGAAAATCGGCTTATTTTTAAAACAAAAATACGAGATATTGTTGGCAAATTTTTTGGGATATTTAGAATTTTCCGGAAAGAGATTTAGGCGATTTTACGTGATATTTGTGTCAAGGCCTACTCGTATTGCTTCTAATTTTTCAAGACAAGATTTTTCTCGTCTGTGTATTTTTTGTAAAGTTTTCGTCATCTATTATACCAACTAGGAGTAATCGGAGCTTAGGAGAGTGCGTTCGATATGTTTGTTAGGCGTACAGGTAGCAGTTGAAGGGGAAGGGTGGTTGCGATATAGATAAGTATGATTATGGCATATTTTGAACGTAAGGGTTGCGTACAGCGAAACCTCTACTTAAACTAATTATCATTATAAGAAGGTGTTGAAAAGATATCGTATGGTTAGGTGTCAAGTGCTTGTAATCGGAGGAGACATTGGCCAGAGTGCGTCGGGCGTGTAAATAGAACATTTTGTTTTACTGGCGCGAGTTACAGGGCGCAGTTTCTCAAGGGTCGATTAGTGCTTAACCCAGGATTCTTTTTCTTTCTTCAAAAACATTTCTTTGGATAATTTTCTCTGTTATTTTTAGGAGCATCCAATCATCAACTTGTTGACAAAATGAATTACATTGAATTTACTGTTTTAAAAGCTTTCACATCTGAATTCAAATTTCGCAACTTCGCACTAACGCTGTCGAAGCCTTCCATGGAATGTTTGTGCAGCTCACGTCAATAGTTTTTTTATAAGTTTTTCCTAATAAATAACGTACAGTTAAAGCGTTCGTTTGTCCGGTGCCGAAAATATCACAAGTCAGGATCAAATGGCGCCGTCGAGCTTCGCATCTCGGTAGATTTCAAGTACTTTGTGGCACAACGGCTGCGAAACTACACAACTCAGTAGATTTACTTTGTGAAACAACGGCCGCCGAGCTACACAACTCGGTAAATTTACTTTGTGGCACAACGGCCACCGAACTAAAGCCGGTTTGATGCATGCACCAGGAGTCGCAGACATTTCCCAAAGACAGTGACGAACCATGCTGAAAAATATGAAGGCTTAATCCAAAGTAAAATTTAACAGCAAACGTTTAAAAGATGAACGCTTTGGACGGTTCAGCAAACACAGATCGATGTACGCTTTACGAAGATTCAGCAAACTTTTTAAAAGATGAACGCTTTACGAAGACAGAATATCAGACCTCAGCAAACCTTTTATTTGAAGGATGAACGCCGAGGACACAAGAATCACTGCGAGTTAGCGCGTCAAAGTGAGGCAAAATGTAAGCAAGCGTCCCAAAGCGAGACAAATGTGTGTCGACGACGACGAAAATGCAATCTCGAAAAAACCTCCCTTATTAATTGCACAGGACACCCAATAATGCACAGAACACCCAACATAAATTAGGGGTTGCGTTCTCGTACCTTGAACGCAATAAAGCATTAAACTAGGAGTAATCGGAGCTTAGGAGAGTGCGTTCGATATGTTTGTTAGGCGCACAGGTAGCAGTTGAGGGGGAAGGGTGGTTGCGATATAGATAAATATGATTATGGCATATTTTGAACGTAAGGGTTGCGTACAGCGAAACCTCTACTTAAACTAATTATCATTATAAGAAGGTGTTGAAAAGATATCGTATGGTTAGGTGTCAAGTGCTTGTAATCGGAGGAGACATTGGCCAGAGTGCGTCGGGCGTGTAAATAGAACATTTTGTTTTACTGGCGCGAGTTACAGGGCGCAGTTTCTCAAGGGTCGATTAGTGCTTAACCCAGGATTCTTTTTCTTTCTTCAAAAACATTTCTTTGGATAATTTTCTCTGTTATTTTTAGGAGCATCCAATCATCAACTTGTTGACAAAATGAATTACATTGAATTTACTGTTTTAAAAGCTTTCACATCTGAATTCAAATTTCGCAACTTCGCACTAACGCTGTCGAAGCC